ACCATCCGAGGGAAAACCATAGAGTTTTCCCTCAGATGACCATGGCCCCGCCCCCAGCGTGCCCGGCGTGGTCGCGTCACTTCCAGGTGACGTGCACATCGCGTACTTTGGGGGTGGGGTTCCCCCCGGGGCCCGATCCGCCGGCGGTGCGGAACGGGCCTCTGGGGCGGGGGTTTCCCTGCCCCCTGGGGGGGACTTGGCAAGCCTAACCCTGGCTAACTCCAGCTCACATTGGTAGGCCTATCGCCAACCTAGTGGCTGTACTGTCCCTTTCTGTTTGCAGGCCCTCTGTGACCTCTCGCACTGAGTCCAGGAGCAATCAAGATTATAAAACCTGAAGTCCTACCCAAAAAAATGACCCGAGTCAATAGAGGCCAGCATATGCAGCTCATCTGTGATAGTGCCCAAGGCACATGTGTCAAGGGAATGAGCAGTCTCCAAGTAAAATCCCATCTGCAAGGTCTGTTTCCTTCTTCTGTTTTCAGCTCAGTGAACAACAGGTAGGGTTGCCAGATTCAGGCTGGGAAATACCCAGAGATTTTGGAGGTGGAGCCTGAGGAGGGCAGGGTTTGGGGAGGGGAGGGGCTTCAGTGGGGCACAAATGCCACAGAGTCCACCTTCCAAAGCAGCCATTTCCTCCAGGGGAACTGATCTCTGCCACCTGGAGATCAGTTGTAATAGCGGGAGATCTCCAGCCACCACCTGGAGGTTGGCAACCCTAACAACAGGTGTACCATTATAAACATTTCCATTTCCAGCCCAAGATGGCGTAGGAGGCATCCAAAAGCCCTGCTAATGAACTTACTGATTTCAGCCGTAATAATAGAGAGGGGGGAAGTTTTGCTCATCTTCCAGAAAGCTCTCTCCAGACAGTGTTCTGATTGGTTGAAGGAGGTTAGAATATAAGTGGCCTAAATTTCTTATAAATGTAGTCTATCCTGGTAGGCCTTATTCTTTTCACCCCCTTACCTTTCCTTTACCTCCAGTACCTATGTTTTGCCTCTGCTTCATTCTCTTGCCTTTGCATCTGTTTTGGATTATGTTGCTTGACTCCGAACGGAATCTGCCAATGCTTCAAGAACTTAATATCTATGCTGTAAGAAACTTCAGTGAGTGTATTTAGGAGTTACTTTTCTTTCTTTTATGTTTTTTGAACCTACACTGGAACCAAATTCTTTTTAAATCTTTCTTTTTATAATAAAGCCTATTTAGCTTCAAGGTGTGTTGCTGTGAGTGAACTGGTCCTGACCCAGAGTAATACTGGTTACATTTCTTTTTTTTTTTTTTAACAGTTTATTTAAAGTTTTCAGTATACATCATATTCTCGATTTACATTTGTCATTCTTGTGAGTCACACATAGTTTCTTTATCCAACCAAACATAAAATCTTTTCCATCTTTTTTCAAATACCTCTTTACTAGTACCTTTCAATAATAAGCTTAATTTATCCATTTCAGCTACCGATAACATTTTGTCAATTACATCATTTCTAGAGGGTAGATCTTCTTGTTTCCATTTTCTGGCTAATAATATTCTAGCTGTTGTAAGGAAATATATAATTACATATTTATTAGCTTTAGTGTGTAGTTCTGGAAGCATGTTTAATAATGCTATCTCTGGTACAAATGGGATTGGCTCTTCAGTTATTTCGTTTATAATTCTAAATATTTTTTTCCAATATCTCTGAACTTTCTCACACCTCCACCACATGTGTATAAATGTTCCTACGTTTCTTTTACATTTCCAACAATTCTTATTAGGGGTGCCATAGCATTTTGCTAGCTTTTCCGGTGTCCAGTGCCACCTATAGAACATCTTGTAGATATTTTCTTTATATGGGATTGCACGCATAAATTTTATTGACTGCCATGTTTTTTCCCATTGATTGGCCTCTAATGTATAATGCAGATCCTTTGACCACTTAAGCATGGTTCCTTTAATCATGTCGTCTACCAAGTAGTCTGACATTAATAATTTGTACAGTTTTTGAATTAATTTGTCACTCGAGGACAGCCAAATTCTATCTAGGTCATTTTTCTCTTTATAGAAACCCACTTTTTTATCTCTGTTGTATCTTGAATTTAACTGCATTACATCCCACCAAGTGAGTAGATAGGTATATGGAGCAGAGGTCCATCAGTGGCTATTAGCCACAAGGTATAGATAGGGGCTCTGGGGCAAGTGATGCTCTGTCTTCTTGGTGCTAGGGGGGGTCAACAGTGGGAGGGCTTCTAATGTCCTGGCCCCACTGGTGGACCTCCTGATGGCACCTGGTATTTTTGGCCACTGTGTGACAGAGTGTTGGACTAGATGGGCCTTTGGCCTGATCCAACATTGGCGTCTCTTATGTTCTTATGTTCTACAGAGCTTTTTCATAGGTGGCATGAGGAAAAGTGTCACTTAAAAAACCAGCACTCAGCAATCATGGATATTCCCCATTGGCGTGAAAGGCACAGATAAACCCCAAACACCCACAGATCCTCCCCCTGAACAGGTAGAAACCAGAAGCTTCCCCCCTCCCCACAGATCTAGGAACAGGAAGAAGGGACGTAGGTCCTTCTCAAAGGCTGCACAGACAGAACACAGAAAGAACTGGGCTACTTTGTTGTGAGCAATAAAACAGCACCCTTGCACATTTTATTCCACATTCAAGGTTCTAGCAAATACACAAATACACAGTTGCAGAATTCGTCTCTTGACAGATGGGAAGAAGATAAAGCCACAATTTGTTTTTACATCTCAAGCGCTGGTCTAGGAAAGCTTCTATTGGAAGAAAATTGTGGTTCAGCTGGGATTTGGTGGCACCTTAAAGACTATGAGAGGAATATCGAGATGGGCTTCCATGTTACCCGCCAGCAGGCAAAACTTCAGACTCTGTCTTCTCATCTCTGCCAGATGAATTCTGGAGACTGTAAAGGAGGGCAGGCAGCTTGGCCTAATTAGCGAGAATTAGCCTCAATTCACGGCAAAGGCCCTTCTTGCTAGCAGACAGGCGTGCAAATTCGAAATGAGCCTATTCACAGCTCATGTGCGTCAAGCGGATGTCATTTAGCCAAGAACGAGTCCAGACCTGAAACGTGCAGATTTCTTTCTGGAAATAGGAGAAAGAGGAATGATCCACACTGTTAGAGAAAAGAACTGCATCATGATTATAACAGCTGGAGAAACCGGCATATAAGCTACCCATTTCTATAAAATCTCAAACAAATTCGGTGAAGTCGTATGCAATTATAATAAGTGGTTATTTCAAATCCAAATGTGGTATTTGACCTACATCCCTTTTCTTTGCCCCTATTGACCTCACCCCACCCTTGATTTCAAGAATTCATATGCCTATTCCAGTGGTGGCGAACCTATGGCACAGGTGCCAGAGGTGGCACTCAGAGCCCTCTCTGTGGGCACGCGTGCCATCGCCCCAGCCAGGCCCAGACCATCATTAAAGTGACAAATTCTCTGCCAAATAATTTTAAGTAAATGAAAGCATTTGGGATTGCTTTCCTTACTTTGTTTGGATCATCTTAAGTTAATGGATGAGTTGTTTTTTCTAAAGTAAAACCTCAGTAATCAGGTTAAATTGCAATATTGGCACTTTGCGATAAATAAGTGGGTTTTGGGTCGCAGTTTGGGCACTCGGTCTCTAAAAGGTTCGCCATCACTGACCTATTCAAAGCTCAAACCCAGCTGCACTATCTTCTTGGCTTGGCAGTTCCTCACCTTCATCTTCTTATGGCCCCACCCCCATATCACTGCTTCCCAGTCTAGTATGACACACACCATCCAGGCTCTGGGCCTAATTTATGGCTGCCGGGCTCAAGGTGAGGTAGGGTTGCCAGGTCTGGGGTGGAAAATACCTGTACACATCAAAGGGATAGCGTCAGAGTAGCAGAAAGGAAGGAGGAACATGGTCCTGACCCCTCTCTCTCTTTCTCTGAAGTCCCCCTTTGAAACCTGAGGCTAAGAGACACTGCAAAGTCCCTCACTTCCCACAATCTGGTTGCTATTATCCACACTATAGCCACCTTTGGGTTAGAGTACTACAACAGGTTCTATGTGGGACTGCTTTTGAAGACTATTTGGAAACCTCAAGTTGTTCAAAAGGCTAAAAGCTAGGCTGCCAGCTGGTATGGATTACAGACAACATATCACATGACTTCTTAAAAGGCTGCAATGGATCCTTTCCCCCCAATCCCAATTTAAGGTGCTGGTTCTTATCTATAAAGATCTTAATGGTTTGGGTCCTATTGGAGCATCTGAAGGGCCACTTCAGCCCATATGAACCTGCCACCAGGTTATACCACCAGCTCTTTGGACACGGGTGGCTGTGAAAGGGCCTTATCTGCTGGAGTGGCCCTTTTATGAAACCCCATCTGGGCCTAATATATTGGTCCTTAGGCACCAGACCACATCCTTTACATTAACCCAGGTATCTGGAAGCTAATTCTTTTGGGTGACCTCCTAGGGTTCTTATGCTGATTTAGTGGCCAATGGGTTCATGATACAGGGGTTTTATTGTCATGACTTTTTATGCTGTACGTTGTTAATTTTCATTTTAGTTTTGTAGCTTTCTGTAATTTTTTTACGATCATAAACCACTTTGGACAGATTTTGTTTTTCTGGAACCAAGAATTAGGTCGCCTTTATCATTAGCACTACAAACTTCTGGAAATGACAACAGGGGGTAGCCAATTCAAGCTTTCTACACAGGTAGGATAAACTTCGCTAGTTCCAACCTATAAAAACCTCCTGTTCACATTCAATGAAGGGAAGGGCTATCTTCCATTTAGCAACAGGTCTCTTGAAAATTCCGTGGCTGTACCAACCCTCATTGAATGATTATCTGGGCTCATTCACATACATTTAAGCTATTACTAGATGCCTTGGGCCACCTAGAGGAGATGCTGGGGACTGAAATTTGCAATTTCTGTATGCAGTCTGTCCTCTACCATGAAAGCCACCCAGAAAGCCTGCCTTAACTGGGCTTTTCAGAGCTTAGCAACTAAGCAGGGTTGGTGATGGTTAGTACTCCGTGGGAGACCACCAAGGAAGACAGGGGTTGCTATGCAGAGGAAAGCAATGGCAAACCACCTCTGCTCCTGTCTTGCCTGGATTGGGGTCACTACGCGTTGGCTGCAATTCAAGGGCACATTTTCCTTTTTTTTCTTCTTTAGTCTGAAAACTCTTAAAGGCATTTTAAGCTGTTCAGTGATCTATGTTTTTATGCTTCCAGCTAGGCTTTTAATGCCAGTTTTATGTTTCATTTTCAATGCTAGTTTTATGTTTTAGATTGTAAACTGCCTCCGGCATAAAAAGGCATGGCCATCCTCTACATAAGTAAGAGCTCATTGTTTTCAGAAATGCTGACTGTCAGCAAAGGAATTGCTGAATAGCCCATTTTAGAAAGCAAGTCTGGTGAAACAGGAATGGACTCTTTTCTTAAAACACAAGCCCACGGTCAGGACCTCATCATGCTCAGCAGGATCTATAAACTTTACTGATGTGCCATTAAGTACAGAGTGGGCCATCTAGAGCACATGCAGATTTTATTACAGTAAACACAGGTGCCCTGACCTGGGTGGCCCAGACTAGCCTGATACTGTCAGATCTTGGAAGCTAAGCAGGGTTACCATAATTCATAGGGATACCATAAGTCAGAAAGTGACTTGATGGCCCTTCTCTCTCTCTCTCTCTCTCTTTCTCACACACACGCTTAATGGCCCTTCTCTCTCTCTCCCCCTCTCTCTCCCCCCCCCCCCCACAGGGGGGGGGGGCTGGCCCTGGTTTGTACTTGGATGGGAGACCACTAAGGGAAGTCCAGGGTTGCTACGCAGAGGCAGGCAATGGCAGACCAGCTCTGTTCATTTCTTGCCTTCAAAACCCTATGGGGGTTGCCATAAGTTGACTGTGACTTGATGGCGCTCCACCAAACAAAGCTGGTTTCCAAAGTCCACTTGGGACGCAGTTCCGACTCTCACAGCCTGCCTAAGACCCTGCAAGTCCACTCGCCTCCTGTCAACCAAATGCATTCGCAATTTAAATTCTCAGGTGTGTGCAATGCTCCCCCTAAGCTGTGGAGTCTTGTGAGCAAAAATTCTACTATTTTGTGAGCTACTGGTATTAATGTTGTGAGCGAGCGATTTGGCTACTGCATAACTTAGTTTGCTCTGGAGCCATCCTTCTTGAGCTAAGACAAAAATGTGTGAGCCGGAGGCTAAAAAACTGTGAGCTCGCTCACACTAACTCAGCTTAGAGGGAAGACTGGATGTCTGTTGGCCCAATTCTGATTGGAACTCAGCATGAAGAGTGGTGGCTGAAGCGTTCCTCCCTGTGCCATTTTCGAAACTTGAAACAGGCCTGGGGAACTGCTACTTGCCCCGTGGTACCACGCAAATATTCCCAACAGGGTAAAATATTGGCTCCAAGAGCCCATTTCAAGTTAGGAAAATTATGCAAGAACTTCAGCCCCTTCTCACAGAGTGCCAAAGCCTGGATTTAAACCAGACCTGTAGATGCCTGGGAATTAAGTTCTGAGCACAGAATTTTCACAGCACGTCTGGTCGGCAGGACCGAGACACATACAGGGAATGTGAGGACTTGGTAGTGTATACAGTTCTGTCCTCCTGGAACAATTCCTGAGGAAAATCTGAGCTCAGCATCACCCAGTTTCTCGCTCAAAGTCAATGTGTAAGCAGGCTTTTCAAACAGGTTGCTGCCACTGAACACTAACTTTAGGGAGTCTTGCACTGTTGGTGGAGATAAAATATATGCACGTACAACATTTAGGGAACCAAACCAAATACAGGCCATGGGGGGGAGGCCATGTTTCGAGATCTCAGGATGGTAGCCTAAACCACTGGATGACTACTCATAAAGACATGCCCACCCTGAAAATGTGAGCTAAGCACCAAGGCACCTTCAGAACCGGAGGGGCTAAGGATTTCTAACAAAGAACTTCCAGCAACTGCAGAAAGTGACAAATGTACCAGGGTATTTTCTATGAAGGAAAAAGCGGGCAGGGGAGCCACTGTAGTAAAAGAGCTTTCCAGATGGGAGAAAGATCTGATCATCACTAAACAGACTCAGGCCCCTGAATAAGAACAGTTCCCATCCAACTGCTGCCTTCTCATCTCACCTCCTGCTCTGCCTTCGGGGGCAGTGGGCATCGCTCCAGGTCTGCTGGCGTCAATCGTGCCCTCTCATTCTTTTCACATTTTGTGTTCACCAGCTCAATCGTTAGATAATACAAACTGCCTGCGACAATCTGGGAAGATAAATTATTTCTCATTAGACTTTCATAAGAACATAAGAGAAGTCAATGTTGGATCAGGCCAATGGCCCATCTAGTCCAACACTCTGTCACACAGTGGGCAAAAATACCAGGTGCCATCAGGAGGTCCAGAACTCCAGAAGCCCTCCCACTGTTCCCCCCCCAAAGCACCAAGAATACAGAGCATCACCTGCCCCAGCCTGTGAGTTCCATCTATACTTTGTGGCTAATAGCCACTGATGGACCTCTGCTCCATATGCTTATCTAATTCCCTCTTGAAGCCGTCCATGCTTGTAGCCGCCATCACCTCCTGGGGCAGTGAATTCCATGTGTTAATCACTCTTTGGGAGAAGTATTTTTCCTTTTATCTGTTCCTTTTAACTGTTCTAACCCGACTGATCAGCAATTTCATTGATTGCCCACGAGTTCTTGTATTGTAAGAAAGGAAGAAAAGTACTTCTTTCTCAATCTGCTTTATCCCATGCATAATCTTATAAACCTCGATCATGTCACCCCTCAGCCATTGTTTCTTCAAGCTAAAGAGCCCCAAGCGTTTTAACCCTTCTTCATAGGGAAAGTGTTCCAACCCTTTCAACATTCTAGTTGCCCTTTTCTGCACTTTTCCCAATTTTATAATATCGTTTTTGAGGTGCGGTGTCAAGAACTGTACACAGCACTCCAAATGAAGTTGCACCATTGATTTATACAGGGGCATTATGATACTGGCTGATTTGTTATCAATTCCATTTCTAATAAGGCCCAGCATAGTGTTGGTCTTTTTTATTACAGTTGCACACTGTCTAAACATTTTCATTGAGTTATCTACTACAACTCCAAATCTCTCTCTTAGTCAGTCTCTGCCAGTTCGGACCCCATCGATGTGTATTTATATTTAGGATTTTTGGCTCCAATGTGCATCACTTTGCACTTGGCCACATTGAACCCCATTTGCCATGTTGACGCCCACTCGCCCATCCTTGACAGATCTCATTGGAGTGCCTCACAATCCTCCCTGGTTCTCACCACCCTGAACAACTTTGTGTAATCTGCAAATTTAGCCACTTCACTGCTTACTCCCAACTCCAAATCATTAATAAACAAGTTAAAAAGCATTGGACTGAGTACTGATCCCTGTGGTACCCCACTGCTTACCACCCTCCACTGAGAAAATTGCCCATTTATACTCACTCTCTGTTTCCTATTAATTAGCCAGTTTTTGATCCACAAGAGGACTTGTCCTTTTATCCCGTGACTATTGAGTCAGGTAAACAACATCTACTGGGTCCTCCTTGTCCACATATTTGTTTCACCTATAGTATCATCACCATACTTGGCATTTTGTAGAGGAACGCAGGTTAAAAAATGCCCAGAACCTTGGCACAAGATCCTTACAAAGGGAAGGGGACAAAGAAGGGCAGTGTAACTTACAAAGATTGCACATTCTCAGGGCACCACAAGGCTGCTTCATAAGTCAGCATGGTGTAGTGGTTAGACTGTAGGACTAGGATCTGGGAGACCCTGGTTTGAATCCCATGGAGACTCGCCACAGGGTTGTTGTGATGAATGATAAAATGAAGGAGAGAAGAATGATGTAAGCGGCTTTGGAAAAGGTAAATAAAGGAAGGAAATAAATAAATACAAATGGGAACCTGCAAGGACTTGCAGGAGGCATCTCATTTCCCCCTCCCCCACTATTTCCCCTTTCCCTTTCCTAGAAGCCCCCATAGACTCTCCCCTTTTCCTGGGTTTTTCTAGGGCTGCCAGATACAGGTTGGGCAATTCCTGGAGAATTGGGGATGAAGCCTTGGGAGAAAAGCGACCTCAGCAGGGTATAATGCCATACAATCTACCCTCCAAAGCAGTTATTTTGTGCAGGAGAACTGATCTCTGTCATCTGGGGACAGGCTTGTAGGTACAGTGGGGCATCTCAGGGCTGGGCCCCCCAACTTACCACCCAGGCCTACTGATTTCCCATCCAAGTCACCAAAGGTTGCTCCCAGGCCAAGTTTCCAACCTCCAGGTGGGACCTGGAGATCTCCTAGAATTACAACTGAACTCTAGACAGAGGGAGCTGTCCCCCTGGAGAAAATGACTGCTTGCTTTGGAGGAAGGAGACTATGGGATAATACCATACAATCTACCCTCCAAAGCAATCATTTTGTGCAGGAGAACTGATCTCTGCCATCTGGGGACAGGCGTGTAGGTACAGTGGGGCATCTCAGGGCTGGGCCCCCCAACTTACCATCCAGGCCTACTGACTTCCCATCCAAGTCACCAAATGTTGCTCCCAGGCCTAGTTTCCAACCTCCAGGTGGGACCTGGAGATCTCCTAGAATTACAACTGAACTCTAGACAGAGGGAGCTGTCCCCCTGGAGAAAATGACTGCTTGCTTTGGAGGAAGGAGACTATGGGATCCAGCTGAGGCCTCTCCTCTCCCCTCCCCAAGCCCTGCCCTCCTCAGACTCCACCACAAAATCCCCAAGAATTTCCCAAACTGGAGCTGGCTACCCTAGCCAGGCCTGGCCCTGATGAGTCTTCCCTCAAAGGTCAAAATAGGCCAGGAAAGGGCCCTGTCCCTTCCCCACCTGCCTTTCCCCTCACATATAAACCTTGCCTGAAATACTGTGGTTGCCTAGCAACAGTGGGGGGATCCATTGATTAAAGCTACAGGTTCTTCTTTTATCATTTTCAGCTTCTTCTTTTTTTAAACCATGGTTGTTGTTGTTTTAAATTTCACATTTCTTGGTAAACTGGGGGCCCTTTTCAGGTTTGTAGAAAGATCTGTCATGCCCAGGGGTCTTGTTGTAGAAAAAGAGCTGCCGGAGCTCATTAGCATAACTCATTAGCATAACTTATTTGCATATGCCACGCCCCCTGACATCACCGGAAGTGACAGAAGGCCACACCCCCTGACATCACCGGAAGTGTTTCAGAAGGCCCGGCTACTTACCCTCCTGCTTCATCCTCATTCCCAAACGGAATGAGGATCGAAGCAGAGGGCGGGGTAAAGAAGGGGGGGGGGGTTCACCACGTGACCGCCCCGCCCCCTAGAGGTTCTCTTCCGGAGCTCCGTACCTGAGAGCTCCCCCCCGACTAGAGCCCTGGTCATGCCCGTTCACAGCATCAGTCACCGGATTTAAGTATCCTAAGATTGTCTGACTTTGCTATAGAATATTATAACTCTGACGTTGTTGGCATTTTTGGTGCTAACTGATAAGGCTGTGAGCCAATGCAATAAAGCTTATGACTGATTGATTGCTACTAGAATATAAGATTCAATTTAATGCTTTGCTGTAGACATTCATAAACCTCTTGTTTCTTATCTATTTCCCCAAGCGGTCTATCCCCAGGCATGTCTTTCTTGCTATAGGATTTCTGTGGAGATGGTAGCTTAGTATTAAGTTAATCACTTCAACAGCCAGAAGGATTTTAACAATGTTTCCCCAGGATGCTTTGAGCTACAGCTACTTTGGTCCTTCAGGGTATGAAGTGTTGGCTAGAGAGCTCTTTTCCTGACAGACACACCATGCCCTCTTAGAGCTTGCAAGTGAGTTCTTACTAAGGAGTGATCTAGCTGGAATGGCTATGACTATACCACAAATTACCCCAATTAAATACTTTTCTAAGTTCATTATTACACCCTATCCAACCGCTCTCTGGGCAAATTTCAGTCTACCCTCCCAATTTCAGTTTATGTTGGCACTTCCTGTTTCTTAATAATTAAGTGCCATCAAGGCACAACTGACTCATGACAACCAGTGTTCCCTCTAAGCTAAGCTAGTGTGAGCTAGCTCACAGTTTTTTAGCCTCCGGCTCACACATTTTTATCTTAGCTCAGGAAGGATGGTTCTAGAGCAAACTAATTTATGCAGTAGCCAAATCGTTTGCTCACAACTTTAATGGCAGTAGCTCTGCTCACAAAGCTGAATTTTTGCTCACAACCACAGCTTAGGGGGAGCATTGATGACAACCCCTCATGGGGGTTTCAAAGCAAGAGCTGAGCAGAGGTGGTTTGCCACTGCGTTCTCCGCATAGCAACCCTGGTCTTCCTTGGGGGTAGTCTCCCAGTTTCTATCTACTCATTTTACCCCACTGTTCCTCCAAGGACTTTAGAGTGGTATAGAAGGCTCTCCCCACCCCACTGTATCCCCACAACATTCTGAGGTACGTGAGGCTGAGACAGAAAGGAGACTAGGCAGAGATCACCCAATGAGCTTCCTGGGAGAACTGGGATTAGGGTTGCCAGCTTTCACACTGGTCCCATTAGCTGTCCCTTTAATATCAGTTTGATCTGCAAACAATTACCAAAGTGATATTCTTTAACTTCATGCGATGAAGAGGAATAGGAAGAAGAGTTGGTTTTTATCTCAGGAATCTCAGAGCATCTTACAATCACCATCCCTTCCTCTCCCCACAACAGACACTCAGTGAGGTAGCTGGGGCTGAAAGAGCTCTAAGAGAACGGTAACTGACCCAAAGTCACCCAGCTGGCTTCATGTGGAGAAGTGGGGAATCAAACCCAGTTCTCCAGATTATTTGTTTGTTTGTTTATTAGATTTTACCCTGTCCTCCTGGCCAGGCTGGCTCAGGGTGGCTAGATTAGAGTCCACAGCTCTCTTAACCACTACACCACACTTGTTTTCAGAGGGCTTCAGTGGCCCATTTCCACTCATTTAAATGTCCATTAAAGGGACCTTGGATTTGAACTCAAGTCTCCCAGCTCCTACCCAATTCACTGTCCACTATATCACTCTTCTTCAATGCCTTTCAAGGCCTTGGACTGTTCCGTCTGCAGGACTGCCTCTCCAGCTATACCCCGTCATGACAACTTCGCTCATCGAAACAGGGCCTTCTGCAACGGCCACCCCGAATATGGGCACAGTCAACAACTGCCCGTAGACTTGCATTCCATCCCTATGGAATGGCCGGCCTGAGGAGGTCAGGAAGGCTCCCACATTTTTGGCTATGTAAAACAGAGCAGTTTGTGAGGTCTTCTTTATAAAGAAAATAAGGCTGCATTATAACACAACGATTCAGGAAGGCGTTTCAGTACAGGGAACAGGAGTGAGGGCGATAGTACTAATACGCATTCTCTGTTGCTGTACATTTCTGTCTTGCTCTCACTGCATTATACTTCTACTTACAGAATACCCTTTCTTGCATTGTTTAACATGCCACGTTTGATCCTTGTGCCATGTTTTCAGATTTCTGCAATCCTAGCCCTATTACCTTGTTTATTAGATGTCTCCTCATCAACTCTCTTTTAGCCTATGACCCCCCCCCTTTCAGGTCCCAGTTCCCCCAAACTGGTCTTGAACCCATTTCCTTGGGACAGCCAACTCAATTGCTGCCTCTGCCCCAATGTTTCAAGCGTTGAGCTTGAATCTTCCAGAAAGCTCAAGCTGGAATAGATGTGGCTAGTCTTTCAGTTGCCATTATACTCCTGTTTTATTTCGCCCGAATCTTGCCTCAGCCACCAGCATACTCTGCAGTCAGGAGGAAGCCACTATCTGTGCCAGGAGTCCCCAGGGTGGTGCCCACAAAGTGTTTTTAGAAAGGCCCATGTCAGGCCCCTGCCCAGCAGGGTTTCTGATTGGCTCTGCGGATTAAAATACATTATTTCTGTGGGAGTTGCCACCACAGTGCTGGTTTTATTCTCTCCCACCTGTCTTTCCCATTGTATGCTTTCAATTATCCCTCTTCTCCCCTGCACTTGGGTTTTCTCTCTGTGTGTGGCTCTGTCTCCTGCAGTAGCCATTTTGCAATTACACCCCACCCACACACACACACCCTGTGTGAGAATTCCAAAGGTGCCCACACGCTCAAGAAGGTTGGGGACTCCAATCTACCCAGACAGCAATACTTGCAAGGATGACAGCATAAGGCTAAAACCTTGGAAGATTCAGAGGTGCTTATTGAACAATGAAGCTTACCCTAAGGCATAAATGCCTTGTCTTGCTGGGAGGGGAAAGGTGGATGCCACTTCGAAAGAATTGTGAAACCTGTCTGAGACATAGTAAACTCTCCAATTAAATGTCTTCAGCCCTCCCCAGAATTGCAGTTTGGATTTTGGCACACCATCCCTGCCAGGCTCTGCTGCTCCCTAGACAGCCAAGTTCCCCCATCTCAGGCCTCCAAGATCCCCCCCTCCCCAAAAAATCTTTACCCTCCAATTTCTTCCCACCCAGTGCTTTGTGTGTGGCACAGGCACTGTCCTCGCATTTATTTTTGTGCAGTACCAAAATGTAACCTTGGATTACACTGGAGATGACCAGCGTGTCCCCAAGCATGTGCAGAGTGCATTTCCTTTCCCTTTGAGAAGCCTTCCACCCACCATGAATCCCTGGGAAAGCCTCCCTCCAGCACAGTTGTTTTGACAGATACAAAGTGCTCTAGCAGCTGCTTCCCTAGAAATTAAGCGCTGCTTCATTCTTTCCCAGAGCAGCAGGGCATTTGGGTGGAGGGATGCTCTGACACGACAGAATGACTGGGAAGGGGATGTTCGGAAGCAAGTGAGAGCCTGAAAACAAATTTCAAGAGAGGCCCTGGAGGGAGGCTCCCCCGAGGCCCTTTTCAAATCCCCCCCCCCCACTCCGCATTCCACCGCGGCTCTACCTGGTGAGACGCCAGCAGGACCCGCAGCGCCCGGCTGTAAACGGAGTTGGTGCTGGCCTTGTTGTAAGCCTCCACGGCGAAGGCGGCCGCCACCTGCACATCTGGATCGGAGACGGGAACCCGCACCACCCCTCCGGGCGAGCCTCTCGGCTGGGCCGTCAGCAGCGGCAGCAGCATCAGGAGCAGCCCGAGGGCAAGGATGCGCGCCCCGCGCACAGGTGGGCACCGCGACGACGCCGCCATGGCCGAGTCAGGGGAGGGCCAGGACACGCCCACAGGACGGCACGACTTGGGCAAGGGGGGACGGGGGAGACTCAGGCCCCGGATGGCTTTGTGCGCTAGACTGCCTGCAAAACAGTGAAATGTGGTGATAATTGTCGCTAATGCACAGTTGCTTATCGAATCTATCCTATCAGCTATAAATAATGATTGACTCCTGCTGATTTGTATCATTATTTTTGAGCATTGCAACAGCCCTTTATGGTAGGCCGGTAACAGCTGTCTGTATTGGCCAGGCGGGTGTTGCGGTTGCCAACCTCCAGGGGGCACCTGGAGATCCCCTCCTGTTACAGTTGATCTCCAGACGACCAAGATCACTTCCCTTGGAGAAAATTGCTGCTTTGGAGGGTAGACTCTATGGCATTGCACTAGGGTTGCCAACCTCCAGGTGGGGCCTGGAGATCTGCCAGAATGACAGCTGATCTCCAGACAACAGAGATCAGTCTCCATGGAGAAAATGGGTGCTTTAGAGGGTGCTATTATATGGCATTATATGGGTGCTATGGGATTATATCCTGTGGAGGTCCCTCCCCTCCCCAAATTCCGCCCTCACCAGGTTCCACCCCCAAATCTCCAGGTATTCCCAACCCAGAGTTGGCAACCCTTGTGGTGGCGGTGGAAAGGGTTAAGTTGCAGCTGCCTTATGGTGACCCCGGGGAGTTTTCAAGGCAAGAGACATTTAGAGGTGGTTTGCCATTGCCTGCTTCTGCGTCTCCCATCCAAATACTGACTTGGGCTTATCCTGCTTAGCTTCCGAGATCGAACTAGCCTAGGCTGTCAGGTCAGGGACCCCTTGTAAGATGCAGGGTTTTCCCCCCCTTTGGTCTTTGCAACCGCTAGCTAATACTTTAAGACTTTTGTTTCCTGAAGTATGCTGGGTTTTTACTTTATTGCTGTTGTCATTGTGGCTTTTTATATTTGTATACATTTTTAAAACTTTTTTTGTGTGCAGCCTGACCGTTTCAAATAGAATCTGACTCTATCTTCCAAAAACGTGTTAGCCAACATTAACATTTTAGTTGAACGACCATCATTAGCCGGAGAACTAGCAACAGTGGGCGGCTCTCTTCCCTGCTCCTGGCAGATAGAATTCTTTTCTGACACTTGTCATGAGGGGAAGAACACTCTGACCTCTGCTGTTTGGAATACCATGAGCAGTTCTGGTCACCAGATCTCAAAACGGACATTACAGAGCTAGAAAAGGTACAGAAGAGGGCAACCCAGATGAGGAAAGTCTCAAAAGTCTGGAACTTTTCCATTTAGAAAAGAGACAAATAAGAGGAGACATGATGAGAGGTTTATATAATTATGCATGTGGTAAAGACAGCGGACCGAGAGAAATCTTCTCCCTTTCCCAAAAGGAAATACTTCTTTACACAATAAGCAATTAAAATATATAATTCACTGTCAGGGGATGTAGGGATAGCCACAGGCATAGATGGCTTTAAAAGAAGATTAGACAGATTGAGGAGAGAGGTTTATCAGTGGCTACTACCATATAGTGACTAAAGGGACCCTCCACATCCAGGGGCAGCAAAACTCTGAATACCAGTGCCAGGAAGCAACATCAAGGGAAGCCCTCAACCTCTATGCATTATTGTTGGCCCTCACGATGAATTGTGTGGCCACTGTGTGAGATAAGAGGGTGGACTAGATGGACCATTAGTCTGATCCAGAAGGGCTCTTCTTATGTTCTCTGGCAAAAACCATCAAGAAGAACAGGAGGAGGAGGAGATTGGATTTATACCCCACCCCTCACTTGGAGTCTCAGAGTGGCTTACAAACTCCTTTCCCTTCCCCTCCCCACAACACACACCCTGTGAGGTAGGTGAGACTGAGAGAGCTCGTAGAGAAACTGCTCTTTCAAGAACAGCTCTGACAGAACTATGGCTTGCCCAAGGTCATCCAGCAGCTGCAAGTGGAGGAATCAAACCTGGTTATCCCAGATTAGAGTCCATGCACTTAACCACTACACCAAACTAGCCCCCTCTCTCTCAGGGAGAGAACAGCAGAGCCAGAATAGCTTTGCCCCAGTGATGTTGATATTGTCAGGCTAATATTAATAATGTGTGATACTGTTCAAAAAATAGATCCCTTATTACAGTGAAAAGAAAGTGTGAATACTGTTGTGAAACTGAATAGCCACATTTACCTCCTGTGCCTTTATAATTCCAGATGGGTAGCTGTGTTAGTCTGTAATAGCAAAATAGAACAGGAGCCCAGGGGCACTTTATATCAGAGACTGAAACTTATTCTGCCCTAAGCTTTCGTGACTCAGAGCTGACTTCATCAGATGCACTGGAGTGTACATCCATGAAGCAGATGAATTCAATAGACAGGCTGCAAACAAAAGAAATGCAGTCTGGTGGGGAGAAATGCTACTGAGGTCAGTTTAAAACAAGAGCCTATTGAAAGAGCGATCAGTAGCTGGGAGTGGTCCTAGCTCAATAGGAGTGGACATTTCTCTAAAACTGTCAGACTCCTGTTTTAATGTTCCTCTACGGCATTGCTGATAATAGGCAGACATTCAAAAGGAAATCTTTTGCCAGCTCTGGGTTGGGAAATATCTGGAGATTTTGGGGGTAGACCCCGGAAGGGGCAGGGAAGAGACCTCAGCAGCAGTGTATAATGCCACAGAGTCCACCCTCCAAAGCAGCCATTTGCTCTAGGAGAACTGATCTTGGTCATCTGGAGGTGAATTGTAATAGCAGATCTCCAGGTGGGACTGGGAGGTTGGCAACCATAGCAATGCAATTGGGCAACTGTACCTGTTGAACTTCTGTTTATCAGATGCATGTCTTAGAAGCACAGGAGCTCTGGAAGGAGAGGGGAAAGTAGCAAACCTACACAGGCAATACCACCTGAATAGCTGCAAAGAAAAGCATCTCTCTCTATAATAATTCTGTTTTGGTCATGGACTCTCCTGAACATTCCACACGCTCCCAAATCAGTTGGCTCTCTGATCTGTCACTCAGAAGCTGTCCCTATCCACTGGCTGTGTTGCCTGAGTCTCGCCTCCAATATTCTAAATAGTTTGCAGTTCCTATCCCCCCAATAGCCCCCCAATTGCATACGCAGTCTGATTGGCCTTTGCCTCTAACATTCTAAACAGTTTGCTGTTGCTGTTGGGAGTCACTGAATGCGTCCTGAGGTAAAATACATATCCCAATCTTCCCTTAAATGGTCACTGGAGTTGCCAATCTCCCTGTGGGGCCTGGAGATCTCCCAGAAATCACTGTGTTCCCCAGCCACAGCACAGCATTTCCCCTACAGAAAATTTCCCAGCTATTACAACTGATCTCCAGATGACCAAGATCAGTTCTCCTGGAGACAATGGCTACTTCGGGGAATACACTCTATGGCATTACACCCTGCTGA